CACTTAAAAATTCAAAGACAATTAAATTGAATAAGTCTTTGCAATACCAATAAATTAAGACATAAAAAATTCAAAACTAAAATCTTAAAATTCTTAATCTTCAATGACTAGCGGAAAAGCAACCGTGTGCTCAGGACATAAGATCAGTACAGCAACAGAACATCACCACTATGTTGTAACGTAAGAGTCAAGGTCCCAACAGACGTGGAAGTGCTGCTTATTCCTAATATCTATTTTACAAATAGAGCTTTTGACTGTTAGTCAATATACTTATTGTGCTGAAATGTTCGTCTAGGCAGTCGTGCCTTGTATTCAGACTGAATTTAGCCACAGCCTCTCTAAATGGCCTGCCAATGAACTCATTCCGATCATTACTGATATTCTCCCAGAATTTACCTTTCGATTTAACTGACAGTTCTGTGTTGTAACCCCACATAAGATTCTCTCGAATACTTCTTCTATGAGAATCCAAGGGAATGGAACTCTGTTCAATAAACTTCGCAACTCACAACTTCGTTTCATCATTCGGTGTTTGGCCTGTTTTCAAGAATACATGAAACAACAGACACGCATACGTGCACCGCAGATATGTTAAAATACTCACGATATTACACTCTGGACAATAACGACCGGATGTAAAAATGTAAAATCGGGCATATACAATTCTGCTTCCCCCTTCCACGATAAAAATATTTTTTTTGCAAAATATTTTTTAATTGTTAATTATTAGCAGAAAAGTGTTCTTAAGCAGTATCTACAGTCAAATAACCATTTTCGCAACTGAGCTGGAGACTATTTGTGGGGATGTAGACAATCAGAGGTTCTGGTAAATGAATATAAGGAATCATGACTCTAAAAAGAGATACTTTGCTCTATTCCGGACCTATACCACCGGACATTCTGAAAACTTTAGTTCAGGTAACTTTAATTACCTTTCTTTTAAATCCTAATTTAACTATTCATTTGTATAAAATGCAATCTGAATAAAATTGATACGCGTACCCATATATAGTATCTGAACCAGTCGTACAGTATCAGATGTTTTCAGAAAGTAACTGCAGTTAGAAATCTTAGGGGACAAGCTTCAGTCTACTTTAAATTTAAAATTAATTTTGAGTGAGGAATTAGTAGTTGGGAGGTTTTATTTTAGGCACGGAAATTATATATATACGAAATAAAGACTGAATTTTTAACAACTGACAGACAGAGAATCTGACATAGGATTAGTTCAGTCATTTTAAGTTACCTATAACCCGAAAACCAAGAAAATGTTCATATAATCTTCAAATTTTTCCTATTATGGCCTAGTACATGTTATTGCTTCTGATAATTTTTTAATCAAATGTTCCATTTCAAAAACGAAAACTCGCTAGATTAATCTGTACAATATGGTCAATAAATGCAGTAAATTTTAACATCTAAAGGCTGAGTTACAGAATGCAGGTTATAAGGTATGTTTTAATTTATGACAGGGAAGGAGCAGTAAATGTTTTGAGAATAAAGCACGGTTGTACTAAGCAACGCTAGTAAATTATGGGGTTTTTCCTCTCTTTTGTTTTTACTTTAGCAAACTGCTTCGTTCCAGGTCGACTTTTCTTTTATCTGAAGCCACTTCTCTTATTACAGATAGTAATTCAAATTGTTCTTTTTATTAGCATTCCCTTACATAAACTCAGACTATTTTATTTACATTTTTCTTTACTGTTTTTCAACACAGTTTTTGAGACACTCCTTTTTTAAGTTCTTTTACGGGACTGTCTCTTTAATTTCTTTAACAGAGATTCATTTGAATTTGTCTGTTTTTGTTTTTTTGCATTGTAAAAAATTTTCTTGCTTATGTATTTCGTAACATAGTTTTTATCTGTGTCATTGTATGCATGTTAAATATTTATTTTTTTGTGTAAGAAAGCTAAGACGAATAAGATAAAGAGACAATTTAATGAGACTTCTTTTTCTTGTAATTATTCGACAAATAAATTAAGTTTGCGTTTATAAATCTCGTTAAATTTCGGAGCGAATTGTGTCTTGGCTCTCTTTTTAATCGACCAGGTATGAAATTTCAAAACACTTTTCCCTTGACAAGTTCTGTTATGAAGCTCCAGCTAAGGGAGACTAAAAAACGTTTTCCACAATTGTTTTTTACACCATTACTTCGCTTGTTTACTTTCTTGTTCCATAGTAGTTTTAGCATTTTAGTTTTTATTTCTTCTTTCCCATCAATGTCTCCACTTTTTTTTCTTACGTTTTTGCTTTTATGTATTTCATATATTAATTTAATTGGTAAAATTCGGATCTTATTACTGATAGTTGAATCTTTAAACTTTAAATCTTAATTTTATAACAGTTACTTTACTTTAGTTCCCATTTCCTATCTTATTTCATTCCAATTTACAGCTCCATACCAGAATGAGGTTTTAGAAACGCGTTGAATGCAAATGAGGACGGAATATTATTAAAGGAAATTTCAACTGACTTCAAGAGAGAGAGTTAGGAATCCTGAGTAGCGCGCGTTTGCCTTTGGGCTACGTCTCTCTAAGCTGCTGTTAGGCTCGACCGTATTATTACTTGCCTTTTCATAGTTCTCCGACTGGTTCAGATTGCAGGCCAACTACATTAGAATTGTACTAGCTTCAGCTAAATCTCTTAGTCATTAGTTAGTTCTTATTTCTTACTTTCAAGCCCAAGTGGAGGCTTTGTTGCAAGCTCGAAGAAAGGGACCATGTGTTATTCTTATTCTGAGTGAATAAAGGGTAATTAATCCTTCTTGAGTTTACGCTTTCTGTTCTCTGAACTAAACTATAATTCGCTTAGAAGTTCACTAGGTTCCTCGACACTTCATTCAGCTGGATAAAAATGAGGAACTCTGTATTGGGGCCCGAAACATTTTAACGGGCCATGTCGTTACAGAGTGGCAAGTTCACGCTGACTCTCCTACCTTTCAAATTCCTGAGCCACCAGTAAACCCGATGGAGGGATTTGATTTTATAACAAAAGCCATGCAGGCAGTTATGAAGCCAGCCGCGACGTTTGATGGCAAAAATTCGGTGGTGACCTTCCTAGTACAGCTTGAGGTTGCATTTTACACTACATTCCGTAAAGCACAGGCTAACTTAAAAGGTCAAGCCCTGAGTTCGTTCAAGGACATCGGAAAATTCCTGCTGGGGGATCCTGGTTACGAAACTAACAGCTGGGAAAATTTTAAAACCGCGCTAATAGCAACTTTTCCCCTTTCTCCCCTTTGGACTAAAAATATAGTCTGAGAATATCAAATGATTTAAGAAAACTAAATTTTAAAATACGGGGGGGGTGGGGGGGGGGTGGGGGGGGGGGGGGGGGGGGGGGGGGGGGGGGGGGGGGGGGGAGGGGGGGGGGGGGGGGGGGGGGGGGGGGGGGGGGGGGGTGGGGGGGGTTTACGTTACTACGAATGGCCGTTCAGCTGTTAATGATATCAGGAAAGATTTTATTCTTATGACGGGAAGCTAAAATTTTCTTCGTATCGTTACTTTATTTACCTACTGATCAATTTATTAAAACATGGACCGGATAATAAAACTTGCTCTTACGTTATTTAAAAAAATCTGATGTTGTACACCACATGACTTCCTTGTACGGAGTATTAAGTTATACGCGTTTTTTCTTGCATTTAGTTTAAACGTAGTATTAAATCTACTTCGCCGACAGCGCATAAACCACAATAGAATAAATGCATTCTTTAAACTCCACTCTATTTGTTTACCATAGTGACACTCTAGCGCTAGGTTCACTTAACAGTATTATATTTCGTTCATATTGTAACTCAGAATGCACAAAATTTATACCATTTAAAGATTCCTTGCCACATGTTCTATTCAAATACTATAATAAAGCTAGAACGATGTATAAAAGAAATTAAGCAAACAAAACAAAAAATAAATAGTTTTTCACAGACGATTCAGTATTTCACATTCAATTAATGCAGTTCTCACTTCTCGACAAGGCATAAAAACTCAAAATATCTGTATTCAAAATTACGAAGTAAATCTTAAACACTTATTTCCTCGAAACATTTCCAGCAAGGATTAAGCATGATTTCATTCGCAATAGTAAATGAAGGCGTTATCTTTGTTGTTGCGAAGCTACTTTTTCTAGATTGGCAACAAATCCACTACTCTGCTGTTTCAAATGTAAACAAGCAATGGCAGCCATCAAAGAAATTATTAGGCTTAGCGGCACTTAAACAACTTTAAAATTGAATTAAAACAATTCTAAAATTATTGCATACAGATTCACTAAAGACGTAAAAACCTTAACCGGAAGATAAGAACAACTTAATTCAATCATTTTTAAAGCAAAAAATATACAATTTACAAACATATAAGAGTAAAGATATTGAGATCTCTGAGTCGGGTAACAGAGTGGATATATATATAAATATATTTATATACGTTTGGCGCGGCCGATTGCAACTAAAATACGAGGTTCACATTTACATGTTATACTAGTCTTATATACAAAATGTCAACGTTCTGACGCTACTAGCTTTTGAGTTATGCGAGATACGTACGTACATACATACTTCGTACAGACGCCACGAAAAATTCTCTTCAGAATTCGTTTTAAAGCAGTTTTATAATTTTTTTGGAGGAAAGAGTCTTTTATTCTGTCCTTACGTACAGATATCACGCAAAAACATTGTTAAATTGCATTCGAAAGCAGTCAAAATGGATATTTTCATTGAAATATGCTGCCTGAAACTTTTCGCGATTACAATACTTCCTTTTTACTTCGTACAAGGAAGTAAAAATGCAAACTTATGCTCATCATGCGTACCTGTTTTAAAGCGTGCTTGCGTGAGGGTTCAGAATGATGTCATTCTTTTACCTACGTTGGCTGAATAAGAGACGTATTTTCTAACGTTTAAGTAAACTAATATGACCACAATAATCACATTTTGCACAGAATAATTTTATAGTCAGTTTCTAAAGTTAATGATATTTTTATAAATCTTTGCTTTTACGTACCCGCAGACACATAAAGATGACTTCCAACGTCTCCTTCTCTGATCACCAATGTTCCTTTCGTGAAATATTGGCAGTACATACAATCCACGATTTCTCTAACTTGCGAACTGTCTAAGTTCTTTAGGAAATCATTATCCATTATAGCTTCTTTAATTAGTTGTTTCGACCTAGAAGAGAAACAAAATCTGTCATAAATGTTACTTAAAATACTCTGAACAATAGTCCATTGGGCCATCTTACACAAGTGCTATGATCCTCAGATCCCAGAATTGCACAAACAAAACTTATACGCACTTTTCATGTACCTCTCAATGCTAGACGAACAATTATTGTTCTTTTTTTTTTTTTTTTTTTTTTGTTTGTTTTTTTTTTGTTTTTTGTTTTTTGTTTTACACTCCAGTATAGTAACTAAGATATTCTTTGGGATATACAAAAGTATCACAAAAAATTGAAATTTTTGTTATATTATTGTAGCAAATAGATTTTGTAAAAATACTCATATTGTCAAAAATATTCCTTCTTAGCTGCGCTAATGGTGCAAATGATAATTATTTTGTTATAAAGTTTGTATGTTGTTTTTAAATCGTTCCTATGTATAATAGAAAATTCGCTGCTATATTTAAAAGACAAATTAAGCATTTTACGCTGCTTGGAAAGACAGCTCTCAAAATTGGCAACTTCTATGATTACGTGAATGATTCAAATGATTGGAGATTTGTGACAATGCAATGGAAAGCGGCAGTTTTGGTAACTTGGATTATAAGCGTTTTTAACGTGGATTAAAAGCAATAAGACCAATACAAAAAAGTCAATAGTAATAAATAAAAAACAATGACCAAAGTGGCATCAGGAAATGTCATTCAGTGGTGTTAGACACTGACTTATTTTCATTCACAGGAAACTGTGAGAAAAATGCGAAAAAATTTTCATTTTGCTTATTGCTATTGGAATCACTTCTTAAGAAAGCTATGAGAATTTATTTAATACATACTTTTAATGAATTTTAAGTAAACGTTTCATCTAATATATGTAAAAATTTTCTAAGCACAATAACCTTTATAATGTTCCGAAAGTGCGTAACATTGGAAATTCCTTCCTGGTTCAGTTTCTGTACCTAAACAGATAAGCTACATGGCTGTCTATACTTCTTTCTCATATTCAAATTATTAAACAAAAGAAAAAAGATGATAAGTATGTAAGAATTATATTACTTTTATTAACAGTTAAATTTTAAGTTCCTTTCCTGTCAAATTCTTAACTTCAACTTACTACTTCCGGCCAGAAAGTAGTTTTGGAATTTTTCTAAATACTTAATGAGGAGAAGCGGTATTTAAAGCGCGAAGTTAATTACAGAGTGAGAGAGAATCAGAGTTTCTGATTTACGCACGTCTGCCTTTTGGCTACTCTCTCTTTCTGAAAGCTGTTATTACGCTCGGCCGTACTCAGGCCCGTAATAAGCTTCATATTCAAATAGAGTTAAGGGGCCAACTCGATTAGAATCTTGATAGCTTCGGCTATATTGCTTTAGTTAAATGTTAGTTTTAGTTTAATTCTTAGTCTCTTAAGTTCAAGCTTAAGTGTCGGCTTTGATTGTACACTCCAAGACGGAATTTTGTTAAATCTAATTGGAATAATAAAGGCTTAGTTCCATCTTGTTGTTTCTTGTCACACGAACTTAAGCGATTATTCGCTAACTAGTTCTTAAGATTCGTCACTTTCTACAGTAACTGAGAATTACACAATGAAAATCTTACAAGTTCACTACTCAATTACCCTATCCATTAAACAATTTAAAAAGCCTTCATGAATGCATCCCACCAATACAAATTATGTAGTCATCAGTTAACGAACCAACTAACCACACTATATTCTTTGTATTTATACACTCTTTTCAAAATTAAGAGATGTCTATCATATTTGATCGATTACCTCAAGAACTGAGGAATGGTAAGGACATATGTTGATAATACAAATATATACCATAATCATGGTACATCTGCATGGTCTAAAACAGAAGTTTCAAGATCAAACAAAAAATACTAATAGGGATATTGTTTCCCCTAACCATCATATAACTCTCACGAGATGAATTCATACTGGAAATAAAGCAGTTTATAAGTCCAATAGTTACATTCCTGAAAAAATGTTGTTTTCATGTCCTGAAAGGTTCTGGGAGAAGGAAGGTGATGAGAAGTTTCTCTCCCAAGAGCGTCTCAGACACGTTCTATGGGGTTTAGAGGATTGAGCCCTGGCTTGTCAAATAATTCTGCCAATATCCTCATGTTCAATAAAATCATCTCTCAGATTATCCTCAAAGACGAGTGTTATAGTTCATAAAAATGAACTGAGAGCAACATTGTCCCTGAAAAGATAAGCATAAAAAAGAGTACTAAAATCTTTTTTCATACACCTCGCAGCATTCGCACAGCCTTTGCCAAAGCCATGAATGTCTTTGCGGCCGTCGATCCCGATGCTTCTCAAACCATTAAACCTAAGCTTTCGCGTGGTCCCTTTCTCGTATGTTGGAAATTAATTAGCGGTGGGTTACTGGTCCTCTCCAGATGAAAAATATGAAGAATCAGTTGTTAGATTGAGTTGGAACTCGTCTGTGAAGAAAATGGGCCCTAACTGATGCTTGGTCCAAAGTCGATTTTTTTTATAGAGCGGGACGCAAACAGCAGGCTTTCATGTAAACAGACGCGATACATACATCGAACATAGATTCTGTTAATGAAATAAATGATAATGCGCAAGATCTGTGCTGCAGTATCCATATTTTGAAACGAATGGGAAGAGGTGCATCTGTCTTTGCTAAAACTATGTGTTTTTAGTTAGGAAATCCTAAACAAAGCACGCCAACTAAGAACCTTGTTATTACAATCTTTGAATGTTAAATTGGTTAGCAATTAAAAACTAATTCTTAGTATTTTAAACACTGAAACAAACACAGGACAGGCTTTCATAAAAGTGAGTGAAGATAACTGTTTCATAGAAATACTTAATTAAATATCGTAATTTTTAATAAATTTTAATCTCAAATGAAGCAACAAGATTTAGTTTTATGAGTGGTAATATGCATTTTCCTTTTCACTGAAAATCTTGTTTAAATAAATCCTGAATACGATTTGTTTATTTTATTAGATCAAAATGCCTCACAGAATTGTATTAAAACAAAACTGAAATTTTCTCTAGCAATATAAATATTTAGCGTGATACAAAATGGAAAGGGAGTTTATTCTAAGCTTCGAAGCAGGCCAAAAGTATGCCAAATCACGTCTGTTTGTATGTGAGTAACTGGAATTCGCAGGTTTTTAAAAACATTAAATGTCTGCATTTTTGCAATCTTTGGGACACCTTGTTACTTTGGAGTCTTCCCCGCCGTGATGGTATATAATTCCGTTTGGTTCATGTCCGTGGTCGGAAGCCATCATAGCGGTGCACTCACTCACTCACCCCTCATTAGCGGATGGGTTCATTAAATGTTTGACTGAATATAAGAACCGTTTTCTTTTTGATGTGTTTTCAATAATATTTTGTTACTAAACTCTATTTCTTGAAATTTAAACAGTTTAAACAGTTGAAATTAAAACGTCTTAGCAGTGCTTACTGTAGAAAACAGATGGCAAACTTTCAATACTAGCTTACGCTACATAAAAATGACTTTAAAGCAGTATGAGAATATGCCAGGCTACTAGAGACAAATCTATTATCACCTGAAAGAAGATATATTGACAAATATGAAATCACGCAAGTTTACTCTGAGATTTTAGGTAACATATTTAATCAGACAACCGAAAGTTTTAGTTTCTTTACTAAACTCGAGTTTATGTCTTTTTGTATGAAGAAAGCTTGGTTTCTTGAAATTTTAATTTTCTCAAAATACTGCTAAATAAATAAAGTCCTAATCCACGCTGCAAACTGTTTGATTTCATGAAGCTTAAAATGTGTTGATTGCTTCATATTCTTTTGCGAATAGAGCTGCTTTTGAAAATAGTGCTGTACGTGAATTAATATATCTATGAATACCAATAACATTCATAGCATTATGATTGAAACTTACAAATTAGCTTCACTCATTCTACAATACCAGCTTCAACTGCATCAACAAAACGATAATTTTATGACTGTAGGTAATTTATATTTATATTAAAGTAACGCAGTCACAAGAAAGATTAAATACTTTTAGCATCTTACCTATCGAGAAATAACTACTTTTGAAATTTAAAGCATTGCCCTTATTTTATAATTATGTTATAAAGTAATTTATTATTTAAAATAGAAGGGCAGATTTCACATTCAAATGATTTTTATTCTAATGAGGGTAATCTGAGTGTTATTTCTAGACTTTTGATTGCATCTTAGGCGCTAGGTATATATTGTTATTTCGCTAAACAAAATAATATATATATATTTAAAATATTATATAATATCACTAAATTTTATAATACTCAGAAGTTTTATAATACTCAAAACTCATAATTTTTAAATTTTTATTATTTAGATTCTATAATTTTTTATACGTTAATATATAAATGCATAACAACTAAATATTGAATATGGGTAATGCTACTCCCATTCATTCAAATATGGCCTTTTTAAAAGAAATTTCGTATTTAACAACTCATTGTAAAGAAACAACAATTAAATGAATTTAGTAAATTTAGTACAGAGAAATTAATTATGCGAAGCCAATTTTGTAAATATTTCCAAACATTGTGTTTACAGAAATTATAGACGTGGTCATTTATATTTCAGCCTGACCAAAAGGTTTAATGCTTGTTGGTAGGTGTTAATAACAACTTAACAATGTTTTCATAACATTCATGTTTTCAATTTCTGTATGAAATGATTGCTGAAACATTTTCTTTAATCGGCATGAAATTTATGTAATATAATTTTGTTCTCCATGTTCCTGAGATCTGTGGTTCTGCGAAGCTTTCGATACTAGTGTTGTCTCTTTAGTGTAGTGTCTGAAATGCAAAAACTTGCATACAGACTCAAATTATGTTTTCTTTTGTGTATAATTAACGTTTTTACGCAGAAAACGTGAACAACTTAATACGTCCTCCATTTTGTCTTTGAAGTTTGTCCAATACATTAAATTTCCAGAAATTATAAAATCATTTATTTTTTTTACAACATGAAACATGCAAAATCATTTTTGAAC